GTAGGCGTCTTAGTTTATTACGATATTTAGCTGGTATATATAATTCGTAAGGTTTACTAAACCTGTACGTTTTAAGAGGTACACTGGAATCTAAACAAGAGTTAATGATCAGATAGAATTCGTCGATAGCATCCATGAGACTATTACATGAAAAAAAATTATCCCAGTCTGAAAGTTTAATCAGTGAATGCTGGAGGTCCCAGTCAGCATGCTTATAGTCTCTATATTGGCAGGTTTTTTGAATGGGTGGGTTATAAGAGAGATAGATAGGGAGAGTGCAAACTACTATCTTATTGTCACTGCTTTCAAATTCATCATATACTTTTACAGATAGTGGGATAACATCTCTACTAAATATTAGATCGAGTATACTATTGTCTCTAGTTGGGGCACGAACCCACTGTGACCAGCAGTACATGTTAATGGTTGCCGAGAACTCATCATTACATGTCTGACAACTACCGGTACTCCAGTTGATCCCAGAATAATTGAAATCCCCAGTGATAACCTTAGCATTAAAGTTGAGAGAGGATGCATGTATGAATGCATTGATAATAAGATCATTCCCACTATTCGGATTATCAGGAGCTCTGTATATACATCCAAGTAGTAGACTATGATTCAGGGTGTTGACTGATATCCAGACTGCTTCTGGTAAACTATTCAGGACACTATCTTCAACTTTATTAGTTGTTAGGGTATCCAAAGAATATATAATACAACCACCTTCTCGCTTAGTAGATAGTTCTGGATATTTAATTCCGAATTAGATACTGCTTGAGAGCACCATGTTTCAGTGATAAGTATGAAAGAAGGTTTGGCTAGAAAAGCTAATGTTCTCAAGGCTGAAATTTTGTTCTGAAGTGAACGTGCATTGATAAGTAATAAGTTTAAAAAGGGAGTGTGGAGTGTAAAAAAACCGAGAGCTTCCCTATTGATGTTATGTAATTTGGATTTGTATAGACTATGGTTTATTATTTTTGACTGATCGTATGGGCTATCGCTTGAACAAACTGTATTGCTAGTGGGACCAGGGATTTCTGAAGGCCAAAAAAATCATTATTTTGATAAAGTGGGTTAATTTGTTGAACTTGATTAGGTGGACAGTTAAGAAAGGCACCTGCCAGTTCGGGTTGGGTTGATGGTGCGTAACCTAGTAATCCATCTTGCCCAATGGGAAAGTGTTGAGGAAAGTTGCGTCTTACAGGTTTATTATTTACAACGTTTGATGTTGAGTAACCTAGTAAACCATCTTGCCCAATGGGAAAGTGTTGAGAATAATTACGTCTTACAAGTATGTTATTTAAAACGTTTAAGGATAACCGTAGGGTGCGTTGGTTCATTGTGGTCTGTCCAATATTAGGCCTGCTTACATAATGATTGCAGTGGCCATCTTGTGAGACATTTGAACCAAGTGTAGCGTGGTGTCGAGTCGAGATTGATTATGAACACCGCTATCTCGTGGCATCGAAAGGATACCGAGATGGTGCCAGGATAAAACCTTGGTTACAGAACGTAAGCGAATTCGCGCGAAGTTACAACCAAAGTGTGAGAATAAGAATGGAAGCACAATATAGCTGTCATTAGCAAGGTCAAACAACAGCACATTAAAACAAGCACTGGCACAGTTGGTTATAATAATAATTGTTTTTATTAAACCAGTTGTGTTCTCGTGATAAATGTGAGTCACTACACAAGTCTGCCCTTATAACCTCCCCTACGATTCGTAAGGTAAAGCATGGTGTCAGGAAGTACAATCTTATTTTTATTTAGTAGGGTCATCGTAGTATTTTTGATATTTGGTCTAGAACCAGAAGGTTCAGTACTTACATTCTTCTTACGTGGCAAAGGTATTTTAATCTTGACAGCGTTTTTAAGAGTTGTAGCATTAGAACTAAGTACTTGCTTATTGGCTTCTAATGGTAAACTGGGTAATATCGAATTAGTGACGTCATTAGATGTACTTTGGCTATCAGATGTCACTACAGGCATAATAGGCGAATTAGCACTCTTAGTTGGTAAATCAGAGTACTAGAGAACATGAGATAGGGTAGTTGCGTCAGTGGATCCAGCAGCTGATGCATCGTGATTTGTTTTGATCTCAACACCTTTATTTTCGTTCAAGGTACGTTTTTGCGTAAGCCTTTGATTGGTGGTCTTATCTGAGACTATACGAGCGTTTCTAAATTTCGTAAGCGTGCAGATTAGCTGCTCGGATTCTTTTAACCGTTCAGCTAATATATGAGAGTCGAATCTGAACAAGACCGGGCACGAGTATTTCTGGTGCTTTTTATTAAGTCCAATGCATTGGCATGGACTGTCTTGAAGGTTAGATGCTTTTAATATCGAGTTCTTTACAGTTTTAATGAGGATTCTGTCAGGTATATTATAGACAATCACGTTATTACGAGAGATTATTCGCTTGGTAACTTCATTAGCGATAAAGTCGATAACAGATTCTGCTTTTATTATGTCATCAAGTTCCGCAGGAACGATATCTTTTGACAAAAGCAGCTTAAGGGGTGATAATGTCTTTATTTCATGTTTCAAATCATCGTGCTTTGATAAAGAGCTAGCAAGTGACTCAACTTTAGAACGCATGTCGGTTAGTTGTTTAAAGACAGTGTTTAATTCACTCTTAATATTATCGATACTCTTTGATCTTGATGTGGAACTCATTATTAAATTAGAGGCAGAGTCATCTAGCATCAGATGTGGTGTAAGACTTATCCCGACATTATCAGCTTCAAAAGGAGTAGCAGAACATGGGGAATAGGTAATAACAGAATTGTTATTATCTGAAGTATTAAGGCTTTTCCGGGCTCATTTTTTTGACAGTCGACCCATATCGCTTTAAGTATAAATTTTAAAGCTATTTATGAGTTATAAACTAGGATTCAACGATATTTAAACAATATAAATTAGATACCGTGTTATCGTAATGGACTAAGTAAATACTTGTAAGTCATCACTAAACTACTAAACAGTAACTTTTCAGAGGTTAGATAAATGAATACCCTGAAATTATGATTTTAAATAAGTTTAAAACCATGTTTCATAACTGTCAGTTGAATAACTCGATCTTTTTTTCACTGACTATATGAGTTTACACACATGTATGAGATGGTATAATGTAATCAAACGTTTTTAAGAGTACAAATGCTGTAGCTCGTTACTTTTGTGAAGATTAACACTGGACTATCATATTTCTTTTTTAGTAGATCAAATTGCTATCAATGAGATAAAAATAATTGTGAAACTGGATCTTCATTCTAAGGTTTTGTAGCATCTATTTTACGTCTGATTCAATGGATGCTATTCTAATTGGGAAATACAACAGAACTTGGAAACGACGAAGTCTAAAATCATGTCCAATTTTTACATGAATTATAGTTATTCCATATTATTTCATAAAACTAATCCCGTATAAACCACTCAGTAGTCACTAGCAATTTCCTACATTTTACTTTTGACTATTTATTGCTCAACCCACCTACTAGCTACAGGTTTGTGTAGCTGAATATTGGCTAAACTTTGTATCTTAATGATAGAAATGCTTTCCAACTTTTTAATCAAAATAATTGAAACATAACTTTAATCTACAACTAATGATTTGAAAGCTGAAGGCTCAAAATGCTAATCTACCTCCCCCCCCAATCTTCCCATTAACCATAATATGGTAATGTAGCCAGTGAATTATGTCATTTTTGCATTTCAATGACTACAAATGATCATCTGTGTAGGAATAATTTTATTATATATTAACATTAGCTCATGGATCATTAAAATGTAAGAAGTACTCAACATCTACTTAGTTCTGGTTAAGGAACTTTCAATGTCACTGGACGCTCATGACCTATATAGAGTTTAATCGTTATGCAGGGAATGCAACCATTGGATCGATTTCCGGAGGTTAATATATATATGTATATAAACAACCAGAATGGCCTTCAAATGGCTGTATTGATCCAGTTCTTTATTGATAATTCTCAGTTATTGATTATATATTCCTTATGATTCAATCTCGTTAGAGCTTGTTAATTTATTATTCTTCCTTAATCAGGTTATTGCATATTGCTGCATTCAATTCTAACGCGTTTCTGATGATTTGTCCTTGAAGCTTGTGATCAAGGCTTTCCTGAAGTTATTTATCTACATCTTATGGCTATAAGAATGTCTTGCATGACATCCAGTAAAAGCGATAAATGGATGTGCGCTCGTTTGTAGCTATATTTATCACTCTAGTTGCATAGACACATCAAACTTCACGTACCAATTACATCCATTTATTTTGTTTATTTGTTAGTTACCCTTTTCCCATTGTTTCATTTATTCATTCTTTCTTTCCGTTTTCCTCTTACTGTTTATTATCAAACTCATTTTCAGGTTCACCATTAGTTCAGTTTTTTTTCTGACTGTTGTTTGCTATTTTCCCTTAATTTTAGACACTTAGCTCCCTTCCTACGTTTATGTGTGTTTCAGTCATTTCTCTTCGTTCAACAATTCTAAGAGTTAATAGATGAATAGATAAATAGCGAAGTTGACCGTGTTTTATTATATCATCAGAGGATCTCGTCTAATTTAAGAACAATCGATAAAACCCAACTCTTATATGTCTACCATACGATCTCCAATTCATATCATTTAGGATAAAAAAAAATCTAGAATACGAGGTGATCACATTCAGGTTATATACATATGTATCAATGTGTATGTATATAGATGCGACATACATATGGGTATGTTTTCTATTTGTTTATTGCGATAATTAGTGATCTAAAGTTGGTTTGAAAACTATGTTTGTACATGTATATTTTAGTTTGTTGAAAAGGAGTAATATCGGCGAATAAATTCTTAAAATTTGTGACAAATTTAGAGAACATCTCATTATAAAAATCTTACTGAGAAATACTTTTTTCCTACAATTGATATTAATTATCAACAGCAGTGTTATAAGATAGCATATCATTCCATGGAGTTGTGATCAGCAGATTTCAATTATGATAAATATCACTTCATTAACTCAACCGGCTTCACCAAATTCACGTAGATCAAGTTCAATCTCAGCACTTGCATTGTATAATACTGCTGTTACGAGCACTTATACTCATCCAAATAATCCTATTCATAATAATTCGACTGTGGTGAATCTTTACACGAGACAGTATATGCAAAAAAAGAAATCTCATCGATGGCGATTGGTCAGAACACCAATTCCATTGAATCCAGTTTATCGTAAAACATTATTTTTAGCCATACTTATACCATTTATTGGTGCATTACTGTTTATCGGAGCAACATTAACACCATATTGGGAGAATGTTCATTTTAAATTCATTAAATTGTTGGAACTATTTTCAATCAAACAAAATTGCTCGACATTCAATGGGCATGAAAATGGTAACATGTACAATAAGTCACTAACTAATCAAACAGAATTTGTAATTTTAGAAGATCCAAAGCGATGGATTAATAATAATAATAATGATAATAATAATATTAATAATTATACCTTAGAATTTGTCATATTTCGTGATGGTAAAATATTAAATTGGAGAATACTGAAACACTTATATAAAAATTGTTTGACAGTTACATATAAAATGAATGAAATCATAGGTATTGTCGTACATTCATATAAACATATCACATCTACCGAGAATACACCGAAGCATTTATCACGTGAAACAATAACACCAAGATTATTCACTCGTAACAAATATACATTCACACGTCATGAATGGATACAGTTAGTAGAGCATGGGGATTTGTTAGACGATACACAAGATGATGAAATGAACAGAAATTTATGGTTAATTATGAATTTGCAAGCTGGTATCTGGACAATGTGTTTTCGATTAGCAGGTAAATAAAAATGGTATTCTTTTTTGTATCCTGGATATAGGGTGTTTGATTCGTGATCAATATTTTATTACGAACATAACAGAAGTAGATAAAGGTCAATAAAGGATGAGCATACTGCATCATGACTTTCTCAGCTTTATTTAGTCCATGTATGATATGGATTTTGATGCTGGAATACATGAATAGGTCTCCGATTGTCGAACGCAGATATAACCCAAAATTGTTCGCATCTGATGAGACAGTTAATTAAAAAGTACCAGAATTAGGTTGTGTATAACTTACTTACCTAATTACGTCTGTTAACCATTGCAAAGAGGCACAGGTGGCCTACCAGCATTCTTCATCAAAATCTGTCCTGGAAAATCCTTGACCGTTGTTTTCAACTGCTATTCATTCTCTTAAAGTCTGCTTCAAATTACCGACACAATGTGTTCCTTGGACGTTTTACTTAACTATTCAGAATTCCATGTTAGGACTTGCCTCGTGATGCAGTTTGTTCGTTTTTTCAATGCATGTCCTATCCACTTCCAACATCTTTTCTTAATTTCCTCTTCAGCCGGAAGCCATTTTGTTCTCTCACACAGTACGTTGTTGCTAATGGTATCCGGAAAACGAACATTGATTATATTGAGTAGTCAATTGTTTGTAAATAGTTGTACTTTTTTGATGATGGTTGTGGTGTGATGTATACTACTTATGTTGACAAGTATAAGTAATATGCAGAACCAGTCGGAAGTAGAATGCATGAGTGAAGAAGATTGGGAAGATTCAGTTAAAGAGAAGATGAAGGGAAACAAAAAGTAATTGTAATCAAAACGGAATTGGAAGAATCATGAATCAAGTAAAGGACAACTGGTGGAAGATGTGCAAATTATGTAATGTATGTTATGTAGGTTTTCATAATTTCGGAAAGCACTGTGTAATTTAACAGTGAACAACCAATTGTCCTTTCCTACCTCAGTTATCGATCACTTCAGTACAAGTTCTCAAAGTTTCAGCTCTGTACAGTAGAACTATATTTATGTTCGTATTAATGATTCTGACTTTGATGTGGACTGACAATTGTTTAGAGTTTCAGATGTTTTTGGATTGTAGGAATGTTATATTTGCTTTGCACCTTCACATCCGCATCAGATCTTCTTTGTTTATCGATCATGCTGTCCAAGTACGAAAAACGTTCCACCACTGCCACAATTTCTCCATCAAGTATATTTGAGTCTGTTCTGTCTGTGTTGTATTTGAGGATCCTGCTCTTCCTTTGTGAAAGTTGATGCCAATTGCTCCAGAAGCTTATGCTACACCAACTGTCTTTACCTGAATTTGTTGGTGTGTATGGACAAGAATGGCGAGGTGAACTGCGAAGTCCAAATCGTCCAGTTGCATGCAATATCCAAGAATATAAGATTTTTTGGTATGGTTAGTTGACCATAACTAAAAGCTCCTTGGAGAAGCCGTGACCAGTGGAGCCAATTCATGTCAGCTAGAAACAGGTATCTGCCTCAGTACAATGGAAGATGGTCTCATAATTTCGTGGATTGGTTGAAGTTAGACATTAACACCGTTTGATGCCGGCTCACTAGTCCAGTGTTAAAGCGTTTAGCTATCAAAATTAAAAAAGTACTCATGAACAAGGCACACTAGTTGTATAGATTCATTTCATTTACATAGCTGATAAGAGTTTGCGAAAGGCTTGACTGAAATGAACTTATCAGTTGTTAGTCGATTGGCTAGAGGTCGTTAGGTTTAATATCACAGTCAGGTGCTCACTCTTCTTTCTGACAAAATTGAAAAAATATCTTGTGTCTTAATTGTGACATTTTAATTGTCCCTCAATTTTTATCACTGAGTGATGAAATTTAACGTCTTACGGTTATCTCCACTGAAATACATAAATCAGAATCACTACTACATCGATAATTGAACTAAGAACTTTTAGATAAGTTATTTTGAATTAATTTGCAATTCCTTTACAAAATAATATTATGTGGGAATGAGACCGTTGCTTCGCCGATCCTCGACTGTGCGTCTGCATTAGATCCTCCACTATCATCTATTATGCTTCCCAGGTACGTGAAAGTTTCCGCCTCTTCCAGAGTTTCTCCACCAATTATGATTGAGTTGGTGTTCTCCATTATGTATTTGAGGACCATGCTTTTTCCTTTGTGTATGTTGATGCCTACTGATGCAAAGGCTGCTGCTACACCAGTTACATTCATCTGCATTTGTTGATTTGTGTGTGATAGAGTGGTCAGGTCATGTGCGAAGTCCGAATCTCCTAATTGATTCTGAGCTGTCAATTGTATTCAATGCTTCCCTTCAAAAGTGGAGGTCTTCATAATCCGGTCAACCACCAGAAGAAGGAGAAAGGGACAGAGTAAGCAGCATTCTCTGACTCCGGCCCTTACTTAAAATGAACTCGTCAGCTGCCCTCCATACATGACTTTGTAATGTAATCCGTCGTATGAATTCTGTATGGTGTTGACGATCTTTCAAGGTACATCATAGTATCGAAGAAGTTTCCATAAGGGCCTTCTATCCTCACTGTCAAACACCTCACAGTCAATGAAGTTGATGTGAAGTAACAAGTTCCAATCAACTGATTGTTCAACGATGATCCATATCGTCGCGATTCGGTCTGTGCACGATCGATCCTTACGAAATCCAGCTTGTTGATCTCGAATTTGGGCGTCTACTGAGCCTTTCAGCAACACTTTTTTTGGAAACGTTCCCTGGTGCTGACAGTAGTGTGGTGCCTCTGTAATTCTCACATTTGCTCAGATCTCCTTTCTTTTGTATGATGGTGAGCGATCCTTCTTTCTAGTCCTTCGGCACACGTTTTTACTACTAATCTTCGTTTATAGAGAGTGAAGCATGTTTGCAGTTACTTCTGTATGACTTTAGTGCTTTAGCTGATATATTGTCAGGTCATATAGCTTTCCCTGATTTGATTTGCTTGGTGAACACAGAGATCTGTTAAATCGTTGATGAAGAGATAAGCGTAGGAAGATCTGTTGGTGCTGCTTGACTGGCCAGTGGATTCAATGAAGCTGTCCTATTCGAGAGTTCTTCAAAGTATTGTACTCATATGTTCCAATGTTTTTGACTCTCAGCGATTGATTTTCCTACTTAATCCTCGACTGATCTCTCTCGTTTACAATATTTCCCTACTAGTTTCTTCATTATATCATTATATAATTGTTTCACATTTCCTTCTCACGCAGCTCTTTCCGATGTCATTGCTAAGTCCTACACATATTTCTGCTCGCCAGCTCTTCTTCACTCTCTTGTTTACTTCGGTGTATTCGGTCTGCGCCTTGACTCTCTCTGTTCTTGTTCGACTGTTGTTGATTGCTGTCTTCTTGTTCTTCCTTTCTTGAATAATATCTGGCGTTTCCATAAAAATTTATTCTTAATGATGATGATCCTTGAGGTGCAACACCTGCTGATACGTTGAAGTTAGTGCTTCTTTGATCCCGTCCCAGTTGTCCTCCATAGTAGTTTCTTCCTTTATGAGTTGATCTTGTAAGGCATGGAACCTATTGTTGACAGCTATCTTGAATTTATTGAACTTGTCAGTATCTTGATGGAAGACTGTATTAAACCTCTCCAATGCTATTTCTCCCATTGTGCAGTGCTTCTTTATCTTCAGTTTCATCCTGGCAACGACCTGGTGGTGATCTGAAGCTATGGGTGTTGCTCTCTTTGTTCTCACATCTTTTGTTGACCTGAATGTTTTAGTGATCCAGATCTGTTCGACCTGCTTCTATGTAATGTAATCCGTTAAGAACCATGTAGCTGTGTGCACGCGTTTGTGATGTATATTGTTTGTGTTTTGTTGAATGCACATAAATGTGCAAATCTACCATAACGGTTCTATGCAACTCAAATTACTAATACTTTGTAAATATCTATATCAGAAGACTGACCTGCATTTCGACTTAAATCAGTTCATGTTATATTGCAATGAATACTGACTGACTAGAAAGAAACTGACGATAATGCTACATGTTTTTATAGATTAGTTGTTCAACAACATGTTTTAGTTCCAGGATGAAACTAACATTTGATAAAATAACTTTTACAAATGACCATTTCAGTCTACCATTTGATGAAGTGACTTATATCTCTGTCAAGTTTTCAATTTTTCTTATATTCGGTAATCATTTGTGTTCATGTTATGCTTATTCAGATGCTTACAAACCTAAACTGCTAGCCTACAGTTCAAATATCCATCCAGATTTAAACATACCACTAGACTGTATGTCTTATCTACAAGCAAACTTATCTGAAACAAAGAATCTATGCATTCAATTTCTGTTAAGTAAGTCAACTGAGTTATTACATAATTAAATTACATAATTGAATGAAGAATATATATATATATATATATATATATATATATATATATATATATATATATATATATATATATATATATATATATATATATATAACCATAACGATTTCTACTGTTATCTTCACAAAATGTCTTCAATATATTGAGCTGGCAGGATTTATTTTAATTGTTTTTATAATATTATTGTTATTGTGACAGGAGTGTAGGAGAGTCCCATTTTTTAAAGCTTAAAATCCAGGAGAACAATATTAGTAATTAATAAACAAGAAATTGAACTTTCAGACAAAATTGAAAAGCTTTGATCTTATTATTTATAATAATACCATGGTTAGTTAGTCAGTCGGGAGTAACTAAGGCTTTAAATAAAGAGAAAATGAGTTAGACTATGCAATCAAAATTCTACATACCTCAGATTATAGATGAAGACTAAAATGTGCAAAATTCTCAAAGACAACTTACTTACACCTGTTACTCCTAATGAAGCATAGGCCGCCGACCAGCATTCTCCAACCCACTCTGTCCTGGGCCTTCTTTTCTAGTTCCATCCAATTCTTGTTCATTTTTCTCTCAATGATAAACCATTTACAAAATAAGTAAGAAACAATCGTAAGTGAATATACATAAAAATAACTCTTAAATATGTCTCCTAAGCGACACTATTCCCAAATTGAGATGTCTTAAAAAAACACTGTTAACTACGTAACACCAGTCAGCTGTTTTGTCTTAGTCTATGGTTTACCAGTAGTGCAATTTTGTGTCGAAATCCCGTTTATTTGTGATGGAAATTTAAGTTTTCTTTTGATCGATTATAAACAAAATTCTTAGTTGCCATTTGATGGGACCGAAAATGTGGTGGCTTTTCTTAAAGCCTACGCTAAGTATGTTACATAGGAAGGCAATAAAGGATTTACGGTTGAACCATCAGGCTAACATCATATGACAACGCCAGAAACCCTTAGCTTTTACTATTGGCTTTTAGTGTTGAATGCGTTATTGAAATGTACACTAATTCTGCAGTAAGAAAAAATCGTATCAATGTCCAATCGATAGAGTTTAGCTTTTTCAATAATAGAAGTAAAATTCGTAATCCTGAAGTATTTGCATCAAATGATGATACCCGTAACTCCATAGTTTGGTTAGAAAACGCTTTAACGTTTATAAGGACAGGAAATGTGCTTAAGTTTTACAAAGGTACAATCAAGTTAATATTTTTGTGGTATACGTAACTAACGAGCTTCTTACCAATTTCATCACCACTCTATATATAAATAAAGTCGACATGACGGGATACTTGCATTATCAAAGGATTTGTCTATAATACCATTATGTAAACGTAAAAATAACTAGAAAGTACCGTATATGTTCTATAAATTATAAAAATAGAAATAAAAATATTTGTCAGTTTCAACGGTAATCATAGTCAGTCAGTCAGTCAGTAACAATGTATAACTTCGTACATCAGTTCGAGTTGCCATACTACATTAGCACACGGATACAATTGTCGATTCAAATCCCGTAGTGGTAGAGATAGTAAGAGTATAAGCAGTAATCGGAAAGATTAGGGTTTGAAGATGTTATTTAAGGAGTACGTCACTTATTGTGAATGTTACAAAGATAATATCTTTCGGAAAATACTAACACATAAGTTTGATTCAACCATACAATACAAATGTAAAATTAAGCTGTCTCCTATAAGAATTAAAAAAAGAAAACAGTTTAATCAAGATAACTTCCTTGAGCTGTATAGTCGTGTAATTATTGGTAATTTTTGACTTGTACTAGTCTATCATTAAATGGAATAGGGTTACGCTAATAAAAAAAAATTTATTTTAGCCAAATGTGTTTACAAGTATAGAATGTAATTAATGTTTATAACCAGTAAATTTGTCAATAAAGTCACATATGATAAGTACACTTTCATTACTGAGTCACTTAGTTACAAATGTGAACTTTTCCAAAACAAATTGAAAAACTTGTCCAGTAATTTGATGAAGCAAAGTTTTGTTAAATGAGTTCGATTTTATCAAGACTAGAGGGTGGTAATGTATAAAACATCGGAATTCATGTGGAACGATTTAGTATTTATTTCGACTGACATCGGAGAATGTAATGGAAATGTACTCGAAATAATAAATCAACACGCTTAGAATTTGTAGGGTTCCCACTTGGAGTACCATTTACGATATACACATTGTTCTCAATTACGCTCTCAAATGTCTACTAGATCATAACTAATCCTCTTGTTACACACTTTCAGTTCAAATTTCTCATTTTCATTACATCATATATCTCCACTGTGTGTCCGTAGAAAATAATATTCGGAAGTACTACATTTTAATCTTTAACTTGCGGCTTCTTAAACTCTTTCAACACATATATTTTCTTCAACTACAAGTCATTCCTGGTCAAAACTATGTCTGATTTGTTCCTATATAACATTTCGTTACTGTATACAATTGAGAAGATTTGCACCAGATAAAGATGATTTTGCTGATGTTAACTTCTTTGAGCTAGGCGATTTGATTGAGGAACATTTATTTGTATTCTTGACAACACTTTAAGCACCTACCTACTTTATGTAGAAGTGAGGTGTTTTGGTTGTTCCAAAATCCTTTGATCAGTTCGTTTTGATAGTGTTGCTCGTGTTTAGCTGCCCTTGTAGGTTTCGTTATGGTGATTTGTCTTCGCATCTATGGTGGCTATCTTGTTCACTTGACCAATAGCGATGTGATTAATTGACTAATTTCATTTGATCTGATAACTCGGATAGACGTTTGTATGCGTGTTGACCGTCGTTTGATCTGAACGGCATGCTTCTAGAAATATGTTCAGTTCAGAATTAAATAATAAGACAACAATTGTTGATTGGGAAGACATTTAGTACTTCGGTCTGTATAAAGATGTCATGAGACAACTGTTAGATTATTACTCCTTAGAAACTATCACAAGTAAATCACCAGATGATAATTATTCAAGTTTTGTCCTTTTCCCTTCCGCAGTAAGTCGGACAACTTCCCTCTATTAACACTATCTTCATGGATGCCCAGCTTTATGCTTTTCGAGTATTGTTCATAAAAGTTCTTGTAGTTATCTTTATCCTCCGCTATCTCCTCAAATAACTCAATACATTTCCTGACCAGGCTCTTACGAATAACTTTCAATACGTTGTTCTGCTGCAAAACCTCACGATTGATGTTAAGAGGAAGGTCTTCACTATCCACAACGCCGCGGACGAAATTCAAGAACTCAGGAATCATATCATCACACGTATCCATGATCAGCACTCTTCGCACATACAACTTGATATTGTTTCGCTTCTTACGCGATCCTTCAAACATGTCTATAAGTGCACGTTTAGGCACAAACAGCAACGCTCAGAACTCTAACTGTCCTTCAACAGAGAAGTGCAATTTGTTTTGTAGATGTGCGTAAAACGAAACGAAGTATATGGCTTAAACATTTATAACACTCATCTGAGTATTTCATTTGTATCTGGCTGCAAGTAATGTATCAACATTAAATAATAAGACAACAATTGTTGATTGGGAAGACATTTAGTACTTCGGTCTGTATAAAGATATCATGAGACAACTGTTAGATTATTACTCCTTAGAATCTATCACAAGTAAATCACCAGATGATAATTATTCAAGTTTTGTCCTTTTCCCTTCCGGCCTTTTTTATGCAGTGCTAGTCAATGGCTAAACTGGACAGCTTAAGTACCTCATCGGTAACCTCTCTGGTGTTTTGAGCTGATCATCGAAATGATGAATTATAAAGTCATGGATTATACTTTAGAATAAATTTATTGTACTGATACAGCTGCATGTAATATAAATAAAATTTTCATGGGATGTTATCAACGAACCGTTATTTAGCTTCGGACAACAAATTGTGATGAATAAGTATCTAGGATGGTAGAAGAGTTATATACATTCAGACGTAAGAATTTCTATGAGATACAATCAACAACAATGAACTCATTTTTTGGTGATTTTAAGTTGATTCTCAGATAAATGATGTTACACTAGCTTCTACATACTTCTATGAAGTTTGCAGTAACGTTTACGAATGTTGTGCATTTCACTATCAGTCAGTGGTACGGGTAATTTGAAGAAATTTGCTCAGGAATCTTGATGAATTTTTAATTAAATTTCACTGAAGTCGGAAGTACTTTAAAAATGGATAAGATTATAATAAGAACTGTAAACGTAGAAGTAAGTAGTCTTTTATGATATAAGTAATAGTCTCTCTCCTTAGATAATTTTGAGAGTGTGGAAAACAAATAAAAAGTGACTAATCCTATCCCTCTAATAAAGAGATGTATTCTCTGAGGAAACATTGACTTGAAGACAAATATGTGCCTTTGGAGATTGAAATATGACCAGGAAGTGATTATACATAAATGCCAGTTTCTAGATTTCTCAACCGGTGTTAATAGTAGAAACGTTGAGATTCAGTTCGGACACTCAAAATGATACGTTCTTATGTTGTTTTTCAAGGATAAATGACCTAGATTAATATGAATGAACTCTTGTATGATGTTTTCTCCGATTCAAAGATAAAAGGACCTACGAAAAGCTTAAAAAAAGATAATTTATCATGTGAAAACTTTATCTTCTGCTATATTACCCTTTTCGCTTCATAATTATTGATTTAAAATAATTATTTTTGATTGCCTAGATCACCTTCAAGATTGCTCACATTCGGGTCCAGAGAATACTTACACTGAATTTGAGTGCTTACACAGATACATATTTGTATCAGGTTCCACATTGTTTGTTACTGACTGACTGAATAAACTGTAGTTAACATCCAAGGTAGACTGTAAGAGTGTTTTAAGACCATGGACTAAGTTTACTACGATTCAGAAATACCTATATATTGTATATTCAAAATGATTAGTTAAAACTTATGCCACTTTAAATATAAAGAGTATAGCAGAGGGAAAGGAAACTTTCGTTTGACAATAAAATGACAATGTAATAATTGAGATCATAAACCGATCAATGTTAGATCATCAATGAAAACTGGTAGCACTGGACGGCCGCTTCGTCCTAGTATGGGACTCTTTAATTAAAAATCAACATGCTCTACAACTTTATACTGGAAATGTAATAATTGCATTCGTTTCATTTTAATATAGATAAAAAACGAAATCACATCTCGTACCCAAACATTGATCTGAACGCATCGAAATGATATCGGCTGGATAATGTAAACTGACTCATGATTTTTTGGAACGCTAGACAGTTACCATTCTTAATAACACGTTTTAGGTAAAGTCTTTTCCAAACTGAACAATATTCACAAATTCTTTACTGTACCGATGAAAATTTTATGATATTAGTCGTAAAACACTTTTAAATCTTCATGTTTGTTCATTAAAATCTTCCAGAAATGCAGAATAATATTATTTCATGCGTTGTGGTAGTCTATCTATCAGTTGCAGCATCTGTATTGATCGGGGCGTTTTCAACTTTGTTTCGTGCTGTGCCTGCAGCTATGGTAACCGGTGTATTGTATATTACATCTGGTAAGTTGTATTGTAAACACGCCAATTTCTTATTGCATAATTATAATTTTTTCTCTATTACTTCATACTTATTTGTATTCTGCTTTTTTTTCTTTATCACGGTCATTTTATAAACTGATTTCAATATCTATACATTGGTTAATATGAGAATGACATAACAACTGAAAATTTTTAAGTGCAAAGTATTATTTTGCTAAAAATACAAAAATGTTTTCGCATAAATAGTCACCGGATCCAATTAATGTTAAGAGCAAACTGATAAGGATTTGAGTAGATAACAATCATTAAGATTCTCTGAATTGTAGTTAATGTTCTTTTAAAAAATTGACAAAATGATCTATTGTAGGATATGTTGGTTTCTATTGTTAAAAAAATGGAAGCTTAGATCTCCGAGCAAGTTAGTGTTTTGGTTAAAATCATAGGTGTTTTGTTACAAATTATAACTTGAGGTGAACTGATCATACATAGAGCCGTTTTCAATTATAACATTTCGTTGTATTCTTTAAGAGTTTTATCAACAACAATAAGTAACTGAATATGATTCTGAAAACCAGAACAACAACAACAACTTTTCACCACACTTTGTTGTTTTACTTCCTTCGCACACCTGTTCTGCAGCTTACACATATCGTCTCCGTATTTCTGTTGTTTTTTCTTCAACTATTTCACTGAAAACATACAGCTTTGAATTTGTCTAAGCGCATCATATTTTGAATTATCATCTCTTGACTTCAATACACTAAAGATCAACAACGCTCTATTCGGATTTTTCAATACGTTACCAACAAATCTACTAGATAAAACAATTCTTCTTGATATTTAATGTACCAAATCGATGAAGAAACCTGCCAAATCGGTTATGATTCTCTTAACCTTTGAATAACACGTTAGCTAAAGTAGTATCTCCATTTTCTTGGATGTTTGGTCACATCTGTCACTTCTGAAATTCCAGTCATCGTGACCACCTTTTCATCTTCATCTGCGTAATCTATAGTCTCTGTCACATTCTAGAAACAAGTGTGGAATCAATGAAAACCAGAGGAAGTAGGATAAATGTACCTTCCTAGTCTGTGACTTTGTATTAGTAGTGCTCATGAGATTCCATAGGAAAGGTCAAACCAAGATTCTTGATGTCAAGAGTATTTATTTGATCGAATATGTATTTATTTTAAAAAAAAGATTTTGTCATTCAATATTGTACCATGTATCATTTTATATTAATATTCCAGGTGTCTTCATTATTTTCGCAAATTGTATACATCATACAAAATTGAATCGTCTTGAGTACGAATGGGGTCCATGCTATCCAATATCACAAATACCTCGAACAGTAAGTTGTACATTATGAACATCTAAGCATCATCAGAACATATATACATAACTTTATAAGCAAAATAATACTCTAAGTAACAGAGATTAATTTACTAATTCTACCACATTTTCAAACATCATACAGGAAATGCAACTTAAAGTTTTAGAAAAATGTTTTTTATAGCCAATAGATAAAGGATTTTTAAATAAAAATAATCTCGGAAATTTTTGATGCTAGTCAGCTAAATGAAAGTATATAAGAAGGAAATAGTCGCTTCTTGGTTTTATGTAACTTTGTTGATTTATGAATCTTCTTAAAAACATCCTAACCGCTGGATAACAATTAAATAGTACAATTGACTTCAATTTTCGAACTGAAATCATGCTTTTTTAACATTGTTAAAGGATTCAGCATATGGTTATATCTGTATTCTACTTTATTCATTGACATTCAAGTTAAGTAAGCACAATATTACTTTTGATGAAGTTTTGTTCTCTGAACTAGATGATTTAGTCGTGGAGATTTCATTGTCCTTCTGAACGACATCATTAGCAAAAACTTCAGGTAGACTTCTACCATCAAATTTTCTCCACCATTACTTGTTATCAGACAATATTTCTTTCGAATACATCATACAAACTGTAAATATAAGTGAGTTATCAACTTATTTGGTTTAAAGATTTTCACGCATAAATCTTGAAATATTCTTGAATAACTAAAAGAAATCTATTCGTCAAAAATTCACTATTGTTTGATTGAATCAAATTATGACATTACACATTTATGTTTTCGGTAGTTGAAATCACCATGGAAAGCCTGGAAGAACCAGATGGCCGTTTATTTTTTCAGTGTAATGAATATCCATATCATCATTATTTTTAACAACAATTAGTTTAGATCAATCAATATAATAACATTCTTGATCAATATTATTCAAAAAGGAATGCAGAAAGATGGTAGTTGTATAATTTTAAGTCTAAAATATCTACATCTTAGTCTTCAATCAGTAGCACAACTTCACTTTTAATATGTAGTGGATTTATTAATGGCATGGAAGTTCGGAAATATCTTATATTCAGATATATTTTAAAATTTGAAAAATTTCGATATTGTAAATTTACAACAACATAGATATAAGCGAACAATATTGTTTTCGATTAGATCCTCATCAGGCTTTACTCTAATATACAGTAATATTTATATGCATATATGAAATTATTAAACCAATCAAGATAGTTTATAAGTCAATGGTAACAATGGAAAAGATTACATAATAAGGGAAAAGTACGAATTGATAGTATGATGACTGATGTACTAGTTTTGATAAAAATAATGAAGGCAGTGTAATAACATTCATAGGAAGATTATAAGATTACATTATAAGAGGTGTTCAGATAATTGAATCATGAAGCGTATATTTGAGAGAAAAAAGGTAGGAGGGTGTGAAGTAAAATAAACGAAGAAGGAGTATGGAAAATAATAATAATTAAAACCATTTATTAAGGCGAAGGGAGAGATAAGGGTGTTATAAATTTCTTATGAACAGAAAAACTTGGATTGTTAGCTCGAATTCCTATAGCTTCTGCCATGTGCAAGAGACGAAATCGAACCATATAAGGAAAACGACAAACAACTTTAAATGACTTATTTCTGTCTACTACATGGCATCTATGGATCAAGTGTGATGAAATACAGCTGCGTATTGTCTTGACAGTACTTTTTCCTAACCACAAAGGAAGATGTTCACAAACTCTTTGGCTCAATTTTTTGGTAGTACACCCAATATAGTTTTTCCACAGGACCAGCTGAATGCGCAGATACACATATAGGTGGCATAAACAGGTAACTTATCCTTTAGTTGGGAAATCACCATAGATCGGGTCGAGTATGATAGACAGAGGTTGGCTGCATTAATCGTTCTCCTTACCGTTCTAGTCAGTCTATCACGTAGTACATCACCAGCTGCATCTCCAATGAATTGCAGCTTCAATAAAAGAGGTCTTTACTAGTCGTTGATGTCGCTATTTTCTTATTTATTACATGCGTGTTTCTTCAGGAAACCCTGTGGATAACCCATTTCAATCAACATATTATTAATTAATTAGTTAATTGATCAAATAATTGTCTCGACTGAGCATATCTTAATAGCTCTATTTGTCAGACATTCGACTAAGTTTCTCTTATAATAAAGGGGTACAAAGATTAAGAAATGTGTGTATTGGCTTGATGAAGAGCTTTTTCTATACAACCTTCTACTAATAAAACTATTTTCCTTTCTTTTTAACAAAACGTCAAGGAAATATAGTTTATTATCTAGTTCCTCTTCATACGTAAATTTAGTTGCTGGATGTTTTTTGTTAAATACTTCTTCTTTCCTAATATTCTGATCGACAATAATGAAAGTGTCATCAGTGTAACGACAGTAGAAGTCAAGCCTATCATTAACAACTGTGAGAGGTCAGTTTTCTAGTTTCGCGAGAAAAAAATCCACAAGGGTAGGACCTAGAGGTGAACCCATAGCTATACCATCAATTCGTCTATAGTATGTGTTATTAAAGACAAAACGGATATTGATTGTACATTTCAGAAGTAATTCTTTGAGACTTACCTCGGGAATTTCAATGTTGATCTGATTTTCAAATAGTTGTTGTCACACAAAGTCAATAGTTTCAGTTAAAGGTACATTAGTGAACAGGGAAGTAACATTTAGAGATATCATCTGTTTCCCATTTAAGTTCATATGTTCAACTTTGGAAATGAAATCGAAAACATCTTTCACACTTCTGTTGACGACTAGTTTGTGTAAGGGATCTAGGATTCGAACTAGGCACTTTTCAGTTTTATGATTAGGCGAATTTTACATATCTAAAACTGGACGAAAAGGAAGGCCTGTCTTGTGAACGTTGGGTAAACCATATAGTCGCAGTGTGTTCGATCCAGTAGGTTTATGTGAGTCGTGTATGTGTGGAGTAAGTATTCCTTTATTTTTTAATTCCTTAAGTGAATTAGTCAGCAATTTCTCTGTTTTTATATTTATATTCTTCACATCGTTGATTTTTTGAAATTTAGTCAGATCATTCAAAACCGAGTTCATTTTATCAATGTCATCGGCTTTGTTCATTAAAATTAGCCGTCCTCCTTTTTCCGGCTTGCCTATGATTAGAGTGTTGTTTTTTCTAAGCATATGTAAAGCATCTCGATGATGTTTATTAAGTAGAGTTTTCACAGTATATTTACTATTTTTATATTGTCGGCAGATGACCATCAACGTGTGTTCATCGAATGAAATAAGAACTGAATCTGTCGATTATGTAAATAGATTTTCAAATTGTACATCTGTCAGATATATTTTATCATATTAATTTAACCTATTAAAGTTTATAAATTTATTTTAATAATAATCTTCTATTTCAGAGATATAATTATTAAAAAAATTCATTCATAATTTTCATATTCTTTCTATAGTTATATACTCCAGATATTATCAGTGTTCATCCACTTTGGCCTGTATTAGTCAGTTGGATATCATCATTTGTTTTCTTTATTGCTTCAATCATATGGCTTATTCTTACACAATTAATGACTTTTGAAAATTCTAAAACAATGATTTAATTAAAGTTTTTTTTTCAACTTTCTTCTCTCTCTTTTTCTTCTTTCTCCTCTCTTCCTTATTTAAATGAATATACTATCAGGCAAATTTTAAATTTCTCTAAGATCATTATTAGAATAGGTATAAACAATTATGTAATGCTCATGTTTATTTTGATGGATAACAGTTTAATTTTTGTATATAACTTAAAAAATATTGATAAATTTTACAGCGACAACAACAACAACAACAAAATAAAAATAAACAAACAAGATAGTTTATGTAATCCATTATCATCTATTGCACATATGGGTTGAATTCCAACTAAATATTGACTATATTAATTACTTGTTCTAAATAATAACAAAACTTAACAGAACTTTGTTTGTTTTTTTTTTCTTTTCTTTTCCTGTTGTGTCTTTGAGTTTATAGAATAATAATAATAATAAAAGAATGTTTATTTACACAGTTTTATGGACTCTTCTCTCTTAATAAGATTCTATGAAAATTCTCTTTATAATGGATAGATTTATGGTGTGAGCTACTTATATCCACATAAGTGGTATATAACGATGGTTAGATATAAAATGTATTTTAGTATAAGACTGAAAACGAAAGAACGGGAACAGAAAACATTTGATATGAAAATGCATAAACAATGAAATCTGAGATAATGAACTGATATTTGCAACAAAAAAACAGTCAAGTTTGAAACGATGGATTGATATTTTACAAATTAACTATTTATTGTATGGTTCTCATATTTTAGTGAGATGTTCTGTAATTTCGTACGCAATAACATCCGATTGTCCACACTCGTGTTCTCATTCACTACAGATTGACCACATCCCCATCCATCAAACTAAACTTAAATGTAATATTGATTAGGGAATATAATAACAGTAACAAATTTTGCTGCAATAAAAGAATTCTCATCACCAATTGTGTAATAGTAAATATCTCCTTAATATACACTAACATTGTAATCACATAGAATATAATTGTAAAATGTTCTTAACACTCGGCATCTTCTTTTTTTATTTCTACCTGTTCAGCTGCTACAATTATTTGTTTGTAATCATAAATTACTTGGATCTGCTTCTTATTTTGCTAAGGGAGAATATGTCAAGTTTTTGAGTTGCCTCACTATTTAGTAATACAACAATTTGTACCACTTTTATGTTACCACGTGGGTACAAACAATTAGTAATCATAATTATCTGGGTTAAATAAATTTAGAAAAAGTATTTTAATTGTAATATTATCACAGTTCAAGGAAAAGGTTGCATAAATATTTGGACAGTCCGGTTTTAGTCAAATGTCATTCGATTATTATTTATCATATTGATCCAACGAAAGATAAACATTTAACTGGTAATGTCTCTACCTGTGGCATTGAGAAATCTGTGACAGAATTTTACATAGTGTTTATAAGTAACAACAGGCAAAACGCTGAAACTGGTTTTTCTATCGTTTATCTTTGCCCACATAACATGATAGTTAAGACTAAAATAATACATATATAAACCTAAATATCCGTTAATCAGCCATTCCTACAATCCTTTGATGTAAGAATTTCAAAATGTCTCACACTAAAGCCCTAGCAATACTTTCTAAATTACTTATGTAACGTTTTTTCTACTGGCTTTTTTTAGGTTAAATGAGAAAGTTCTAGCCGTGTTTAGATCTGCTGATCATTTTGGCTACTTAAAGTACACTATCAAAAGGTTGGCCAACTGAATGTAAACCCTAAAGAAAGTATTAGCAAACCCAGCCAGAAAAGAGTGATTTAAATAATTCACATATATGCATTAGTCATAGCTAATTGAAAAAGTACACTTCTTTATGATGACTCTGATTCATCACAAGGATTCAAGACATTGTGTTATCTGATTGGCTTCTTTTATTTCATACAATTGCACTTCAGATCCAAAATATAATATTGAATAAAGCCATTAATAATAATAATAATATATATTAGTTGGGAACTTTTTACCCAGTAGATCACTTAATTCCAGCACAAAGTTTGATATTAACTGATGGAATATTCATAACAATAGACTGGTATTACTACATCATTAAATATTCGTAATCTTTAGTAGTAAATGTCCTACATGATCTTTCAAACATGTACCCGTCTTATGAGGAAAGTAAACGGAATGATCATAAATAGTAATCTGTTTAAATGTGAAATGACACTTCACTATCGGGATAAACTTCTTTGGTTGATTCTGAAAATGATGAACCACTGCATTCTCACCTGGTTGTACATATTTTGGAATTCCCAAAATTCTTGATATAACCCAGAGATCATCGAGAGGCATTAGTAATGACTATTTCGTGCCTGACATGTCTTCACTTCACCGGTCACGACTTCCCACTAGAATCTCAAGAACTTATTGTGAAGCGACTCACTGGCAAACACACGATTACAGCATTGGCAAAGGATAATTTTTGAGATTGATTTACTTAGTAAGTTGTATTCGTCACAGACTAAACTCATCATAATTTCAAGGAGTCTCATACTGACACGAAACACCTATATGATGCTCCCTGTTTTTCACTGGCACATCAACTGAGATAAACTTTAACGAATACTACTTACAAACGAAACCCACCTTCACTCAACCCCTTCACTAGTACATGCCATGAATGTTTTCGTGGTACACGCTCTCCAAATACATTTTTTAATTATTCCAGCTTGTCGACTATTAAATTTAGATAATCCTGTTGAGCACTATCGAACGTTCTGTTTGACAACCGTCTGAATGTCGAGTTTAAAGCCTTACCTTTTGCCTTTAAATAGCAGTGAGTTTAAGTTTAATTCAAATGCTAGATTATTAAGGATCAGTGTTTAAGCCATTCAAGATGAACGGGACATCACCAAAAGTAAAGATTAGCATAATACGAATATCCATAATGATGAATAATTAAAGTCACTTTAACTCAATTATTGTTTATAGATTTATATACTAAGTTCTAAATCATCATGTTAAGTCAATCATGCAGAATTCGAAATTGCATTCTAATGCTTAAAGATGAGATATAATAAACTGTATTACATCCTAAAATTACACAAATAAATAGACCTTCCATTTTTGGTCTGTAAAATCGAAAACAATTTTATCACATACAAATAAATTCAAAAGTTCCATTCTATAATCCATCAGTCTACTAACTAAACATTTGCTTCTATTTGCCTTTGTAAATAATGATCAATTAAATAATTACTGATCAATAAGTAGGTCTCTAATAGATTATTATCATAATACTCCATTATCAATGAAAAAAAGAGGAATTATACCTTAGTTAATGGACAGAAATAAAAATTGAATTATAAAATAAACCAAATCAATATCAACTTATTAAATGTAGTAAACATAATTACTGATACACTTTTATACAAGACAAAGGTGATTTAAAATCGGAATTTTCATCTAATATCATATGTGTATGTCAGATATATCTGTATATTAGGAATTGTTGATTTTCATGATGGAGATGGAACTTAACTTCCCTCTCTAGGAACGGTAAAGCATCAGTGATTAGATTACTGAACTGTGTTAGTCACCTGATTTATGGGATATGGTTTCATCCAATAAGAAAACATGGAAAGTACATAGAAACGATATCCACAAGTTTCTAAATTATAAGGTAACTAACGGAGATTTACCTCAAACGAAAATCAAGTTTGTCAAATGATAATAATAAGTTGAGAAGAGAACAACAGTTGCTCTTTAAATGTTGGCTTAGATTAGTGACAGATATCACAATTATTTATTCAGCTGCTTAAGTATTGTCCCATGTTTCTTTCTGGGTCAAAATCCCTGATTGGTTTACTAATACTTCCCCAAACCCATTATTAAAGTTTTTCATATTAGAGTTAAACTCTAAAACGTCTTCTCGCTACGACTCATTTACACCCAGTGATATATATTAGAATATAAGCTCTAACTAGAAAATGATTCGAGTTCGAACATATGCTCCAGACAAATGTCGACATTCCCAACGATGCCTGATAACGATAAATTTTATTCGTGTCGATATTACCATGTAATTTGTTCTCTCTCATTATGCTTTAAAGTATTACTTTCAAGAATTAAACTGTTCTATGTATATATTTACAACTGATAGCCAGCATTACCTATTCCTAGGGGTAGAACGAAGAAAGGCCCCTACTTGTATCTTTCAACTTGACGTAGACTACTTTCTTGGGAATTAAATCACCCGCCACGATTACTGCATCTGAGAGTTTCACTCTCTGAAAGAGAGCAGGAATCATTATATAAATCTCTTTTCCTATTTCATTGTGAACTTGGATTGAGTCATTTAGTGGAAGTGCTTAAATATGGATGTAAAAGACAAAATAAATAACATCAAGGTAAAACAAACTGATTCTGGATGAGTATTTCGGAAAAAGAACTTGACATATTATAGTTTTCCATTGATAGTTTCAAAATACTCAACATGGAACATAAACCCTAAAATTCATTCTACATGCTACTAGCACAGAAGAAATATCGTCTCCTACCAACAAAAATTTTAAGAAAGTTATAATGTCTTAAATTCTGTTCGGGTGTGCTTGTGTGCTTGAATAATTGGCAGTACTGGACGCTGAAATTGTCAAGCAGTCACCATGACAACCTAATGCAAAATGAATCAGAGGCAGGTAGTTTTTATTTCAGATCCTAATAATTTTCACTGAGCTTTCACAAAAGTTAATAAAAGTAATAATAATAATAACAATAATTGAAAAGTGAAATCCATAACAAAAACAAACATTGACATATTGAATGAAAAAAAAATATTAGGAGAGACCAGCTCCTTAGAAAAGTAAAAATTATCGTTTGTGCCAGCAATCATTACAGGTCATTACGAAAAATGTTTTGTGCGTAAGACAAAACAACAAAATAAATACATCAAAGTAAAAAGGAAAACACACTGATCAAAACACACAAATAAATTTTCATATAAGTAAACAAACAATTTGCCACAGTAATTTAGCGTAAACATGTAAGTAGTTTAAAAGAAAAATGATGATGTGATGGTGATGTAAACAGCTGCTGACATAAAACGTATTCCTAGATTCCATATTTTTTTATCATAGAAAATAAATGAAATATTTCTCTCTGATAAAAAGAAACGGTGATAAAATCCCAAGTCAACCAACAATAGAAATTATTAATAGAAAAGAAATATCCTATTGTTCCTTATTTTCTTTTACAGATTTATTAACATGTTCTAAGTAATTAAAGAGAACAAAAAGCAAAACAATAACAACAAGATCTCAACAATATTTGCAATAATACTGGTTACAGTAATAAAGTAATAATTATTAATAGTACTAATAATAGTGAAAGTAGGTAGACAGTTACAAAATAAAGTCATAACGTACAAAGATTTGTCGATCAATTTAAGTAGTATGAAAAGTATGTTAGTAGTATAAAAAGCAATTCATAGAATAAGTGTATACATGAGAAAACTTTCAATAAAGATCATTTTCTGTCCCAAAAACAAACAAAAAATAGTGTCTTCCGTCCATTACTTATAGTTTACTTTCATTTACTGGTTATTTTAATCATTTTGCATTTGTAATATTTATGTATCACAAAAAAAGAAACGATTTAATTCTTTCCTTTTCATATGGTGAATATACGAAACATTAGTAAAATAATAATAATAATTCTCCATGAATATAAAACTAAAACCATTGATTACTTGAATATTCCAGCAAAGGAACAAAAATGAATCTATAGAAAGATGAATGAAATATCAAACTGCCTAATTAATTGAATACGCCTATTTTTATGTTGTTTTAAGATGTTTCCTAAAAAAATGAAAAGAATTTCTAGTCTATGTGCATGTTTCTATGTATGTATGTGTGTGTACATGTATGTATGTATGCATGTATGTATGTATGTGTGTGTGTATGTATGTACGTATGTATGACAGAGATGGATAGACTGAAGGAAACTTAATCCACTTTATGAAACCAAGAGATAAAGGCAGTAAGTGATGTTTGATAAACGTCATCGTATTGAATGTTTAAGACTAGCGATAATAATAACAATATTGGCATTAATAATAATAATAATAATAATAATAATAATAATAATATCATTGAAACAAATGCATTGACTAGAAATTAAAAATGATCCCTATAAAACGACTGGATAGCAAGGAAAGATTGATAATACACCTAGTCAATAGTACTACGTTTTAGATGAATATCAAATAATTCAAATAACTTTAGTAGTCACTTTTCATTCTAATTTTATTGCTTGATACTGACTGTTTTTTCCCTGCTTGTATATCACAGAAATGTATTTCGAATAATGAAATGACTATCAGTTACTCCCTAAAGTCATCATGTTCATCGTCATCATCATCACCAAACCCTGGTGGGAAAAAATATTGCATAAATGGCTGTTGGGTTTGTTGGGGTAACCGTTGTTGTGCTGTCGTTAAGGACAGTTGTGGTACGCGTAAACGTGCTTCTGAAAATCGTGGGGGTACTTGCGAAGTTGACGGTCCAGGTACCAAATAACAATGCGGTGTAAGCGAATGTAATAATGGACATTGAGCTATTAAATGATTTGGATCACGACATCGATAACAACGTCGTCTCATAGGTTCGAACGGACATGTGGCAGCTTTATGTGAAGCGTATTGTCCACAATTATAACAGCTAACAATACAGAGATATTTTTAGTTAAAGAAAAATTATGAAATGAAAAATAACATTCATAAACAAAGTATAGATAGCTATAATTCAACTGTTTGAAAAATTCCCATCATCTTAAAATATACACATTTCACACTATTACCTTATATACAAATTAAACCCTATCCTTTCACACCATAAAGGTCATACATATTATTATTCTTAACCGTGCACATATACACACTAATTTGCAAACACGTCGCTTATGACCGAAATGACATGATGTCAGACCTGTTTTTTATTGTTCGCACATAATATTATTGTGTTGTTGCGTTGTACTATTTAAGCTTGGATTAATTTTGGTTTGGTTATTTATTCTCTGAAAAAGTAGCTTACAATGAGTCACGAGACGTCAGAAAATTCAATTTTTCTACTCTTCAGGTTGGATGCCGGCTCAGTAGTCTAGTGGTTAAGCTCTCGTGCGCGAGACCGATAGGTCCTCGGCGGCGACCCCGCGAGGTGGGGAAGTGGGTGCGCACTGCTGAGGGGTCCGACAACGACCATCTACTGCTTCCAGGTTCTCCATGGTGGTCTAGCTTCAATTGACTCATGATGTCAACTGTTAAAATGTATTTTATCTTAAACCTAACCGCTTTTTAGATTTTAAATTCGAATATCTAACAGTAAAACATAAAGAAAATTTATGGGAAAGGATATTCCTCGTTCGTACCGACATTTTTCTGACTTTTTTGAATTCAAGCTGATAGACTTTCATTCTGTTGATAGAGGAAATTATTTTGACGGAGAGAAATTTGTTCGTGTTCTTCAAGCTCAATATCCATAAATGAATAAAATCTTTACTGTCACAATTACAGAAGTAGTGATTTCTCGTTATCGGTAACAGTGTGTGATGCACGTAACCACAGTCATTTAACGTGATATGCTCATTTCAAACAGTGAAGCTAGTTATATTTTTAAAGTAGTTTATTGAGTATGCTAAAGATATCAACTGATCACCAGTTATATCATCCATTATAATTTAAGGGAATTCAGGAATCGATTTCTTGATCGAATTAACGATTTAACCACCAAAACACATTTCACTTATTTTAGAATTCATTAAACCTATCAAAATAGAAAATCTAGTGAAAACTTATACCACTAAATCATTATTTATCTTCATCTATCTAGTTTATGAATGAAAGTTATTATTATTCGCCATAATATTCTTAAGTAAGTGATGTCAATTTTTCTAAGAGTTTCTGAAAACAATAAAAAGTACTCCTGTTTCCATCGTCAGTTCTACCTCTCATCATTAACTCAACTGCTAAACAAGATACAAATTTAAACATTTACATGAAACTACCTAAGATTGATTGACCATTGGGTAGTAACCAATGTAACGTACTTCAAGTCCTTCTTAGTGCTATTTAAGTTCTGTCGACCATGTTACAATCTGCTCACTAGTCTAAGATATGCGAAATCGTATGCACTTTATTGAGATGTACATGGGTTGTCGAAACTATTGTTTATTCTCTACAGATTTTTTATTGACTTACATATATTGCTCAGTAAGACTGCGAAGGTGATTCCGATTAGCAAACTCAAAATCAACAATCATTTCTAAACTAGCAGCACAACCATGCTAACCAGTTAGTATTCACTGCCTACATATTTAACATTGTTCAGTTTTACAGTGTCTACTATTCTCTTCTATAGTCTTTAACTACTCGTAAGTAGTAAGCAACTCCACTTAAAATTATTTAGAAAATTGATAATGGATTTATGCATTTATTAATTTTACTGTTATGTTCCACATACATCTAACTAACACTGATATTTATTAAAATTCATGAACTACATGAAAGCGTTTTGACGTTTATACGTTTCACTACAATCACTTCATGATACACCATAAAGATCACTCAATGTAATCAAAGATGACTGACATAATATATAAAATAAGCAACTCAGTCAGACACAGTTTAACATTTGGACGTTGCTGACAATAACCTATTTTGGACTGAATTCATATAATTAATTTTCAAACGGGGTTAGTTGAGAAATGAACAGCCTACTAGTAATTTATGTAACTACTGGGTTGAATAATTATGTTCTCGAAGAAAGTATAGTTTTATTTATTAACTCAGATCCTCCTAGGTAATAAATACAACAGTGCACAAGACCGGATTTATTACCTCCTGCAACCAGTAAACCTCGGACAATATCTGATCACTTGAATCTATTGTTGTATGTTTGAGATATAAGTTAAAAATTGATCTAGATCAATGTGATATGGTCAGCCAATCAGAAGAAACCAAATGAGAGGGTCACTTGATAATCTGAAATGGCTTGAAGGATAAATGTATACCATTGACTAAGAAATGGATAAATTTTCTAGACGTTAGAGATGTATGTGTAAAAAGAAGTATTTGTGTATACTATTCGGTAGCTCAATATACTTTCTCATCCACTCCCGTGTTCTCTCACTAGCTGTCTGGTGGTGAGTTAGCGTGTAGCACGTTGTGTATCAATATAAGTTTTCAAACACCGCCCACCATAACACAATGTAAGACTTGTTATTTAGAAATTCAGACCTTCTAGTTTACGGTAAACGCATTACCACTCAGTCACTCAGATATAATAAAGAATTTACATCAGGAGCGTCAGAATGGTTAAAACAATCAGATTTCTTTTTCGAAGATTAAGTATGTTATTATCAACCCTTACTTTCTATCTCACTATTCCATCGTTTATAACTTAAATATAATCACAATTTAGATTTTTATTGAACAATGATGAACACCAAACAGAAAAGTAATAATATCTCAATTTGTTATGTCACTTGAGAAAAAACTTTTCGGTCCCATAAATTAGTTCACAGTTAACATATAAAATACAATCACTTTTAGTTCAATATTATTATATTGCCAATTATATAAGAAGTTTCTCGTCATAAGTGTGGAAAACTTTGTAAGAGATATTATATGAGAGTAGGATTTATCGAAATCATTCAAATGAATAAAGCTTAGGAAATATCGTGAAGTGACTGAACTTGGACATATTGAGGACTATTTTTTAATTCAGTACTTTTCACGCTACCGAGATCTGATGAACAGATTATTTTTACAGGTTTTATCACCTTTTATACAACTTTTATTTCTGCACACTCTTGTTGGGTTGACTTTTCATCATGTGATTGACTGACTGTATCTACATGGGCAGATACTTATGTCTGTTATCCCTAGTGGAGCGTTGGCCGTCGACCAGGATTCACTAACATTCTCTAACATGGACAAACAAACTGGATCAGTGTTAATATATCTGTTAACAGCGGATTGAAATAAATTTCAGACTTCTAAAAGTTCTTTGTTATCTTTGAAGTCCCCTAATATTCTCCTAAACTACAAATAAAGCTTCTCAGTTAAACTCGAAAAATGCTGCACTACCGAAACTACGTACCAAAGCTATAAATCCTCTCGATCATTAGAGGTTATACTGTGGAGTCCAATATTTCAGTTATTAAGATCACAAAGGACGGTTAAAAAACAATGACAAGTATAATAAAAATTCGTTAACTAATAAGTATTTTTTGGTTTCATTGGATGAACTCCAATTTAGCAAGCTTCTATCGATATAAGCAAATGATTATTCACATTGGGGGATTCTGTAGATCTTTCATGTGAGGATTGTGGTTAAAATTACCTAACGCTAAGCTTCACTAAAAAAAAATGCGAGCTTTTAAGATAAGCTGGAAATGGGTCCACTTGGTACTGAGATGTCTGCTATTCACTACATAAGGGTTTATGGGTTACAGTCTAATCCATTTAACACTCCTGGTTTCCCAAAACATTGAAATCTGATGATGAGAGGACTGAACGCATCACATCTGGACGGAAGTCAGCTGGGTCCCAGTCTCACACTATGCAATGTCATGTGTACCAATCAGATTGTGTCACACTACAGAAATGGTCTTTTGCTTAACAGGTGGGTATGATGGTTATAGATTTGTTTAAAATCTTAACTATACACATATTTTTACAACTAGATTCATGCAAGCGGATAAACAAAATCAAAGTGCGAAATCCTAAACGTTAATCAAAATAATCAGTAAAACATTACCTCAAACAACCATTAACCTATCTTCATTCTTTGGACTTACCGAAATCGTCTTGTTCTACGTCTTTCAGGTAACCTTCTCATTCTAAGTGGCTCTGAACCAAGAGGAAATAAGGGTTGACGAACTGCTGGTTCTGACCATGGAATTCGTGATGTTGAAGGAAATTCTCTCATTTCAATTGCCGGTTGAATATTATATCCTTCTAATCCTCTTACACCTGGACGTATTTGAAACCAAACTGGTAAGTCTGGATATAAATGCTCCACAGAAATTCCGTATACGTTAGACTAGAAAGAATGTTTTTAGAAAGACAGCCAGAATACATTAAGCTATTTTTATGGCCAAAATAACGAGTGGTGAATAGTTTAAAATCAGAAAGCAATGGACGTTTGTTTTGTGATATTATGAGACTAAACCGCAACACTAACCAGCCACAATCTTTAATAAAGCCGAACTCATTGAATTCACTATAAAATCCTTGTGGCACTGCGCCAAGATCCACATTTCCACCTGCAGCGAATTCGGATAACGACCGTCTAATGTTCTACTGGGACGTCATAAGGAGCGGAATTCACACATGCCAAGAGTAGACAGATATTGCTACCGCGTAAAACTTGAAATGGATTGGATTTTAGAAGCAAATATCAGATGGATGAATGTAACTGTAAGAAATCTGTTGCCATAGTTAGAACGCAACTGCGAAGTTTACTTCTAGCCTTAGAGGGAATTATCCTGAGTATGAAATTTAAGTCTGCATCACTCAGTCTCATGTTCATTCACATGACCACTGAGTTATGCCAATGACTGGCACTCTTTGTATCTTGCCTCTAACCATATTAAACATATTGACCCACAACGTCGAGTCATATGGTCGTCTGACTACTTCTATTGCTGTAACTCAACAATCAGTCCCACAGAAGTTTGAATTCCATTTCTTTCCGGGAACAATAGCGATCTATAGTTATCATACAATTTAAATATTCAAGGTCTTTGTAAATGGTGTTAGTTCCCAATCCCCTATATAACTAGGACTACAAACGGTTATACTCAAGATTTTGAAAATTCCAGATTGTTACAATATTACTGTACGACTAAATGTAAGTACATCTATGGGGAAAACAGACTAGAAACTGTAGGCTTAATTAAACAATTTAAAAAGTATACGTTTCAGAGACCAAAACAGTATTAATAGTTTAACTGAATGTTACCTACTTGGTATGAGATGAATTTAACAATTTCAAGATAATCTTCCTTAAAGCGATTATTACAAGTCATAGCAATTCAAAATGAGTCAGTAGCTAACACTCAAAACGTTGATAAACGACACTAATGGTATGATTAACTTACAATCCAGTGAGATTAACTCACACTCATAATGTAGACTGATGTTAACTTCTCTAGTATTTAAAAAAGCTATCAGTAAAAATGCTCCCAGTAAACAGTATTAATCTAAGTTACATTCGAATGTATCCTTCTAAACAATTCAGTTGTGATTAGGAGAATAATTCATTTCAAAATTTGTCAAATTGCTTCAATTTATTACATTCTGTATGTAGTTGTAAGGTGAATCCAATACAATAAAATGAAAGCATCCGTGAAGCATATAGTTTTATCCTATTTAAATCATAACTGAAAATAAAAGAATGACCCTCTCCCAGTTTGGAACTCTATAGTCATTAAACAGTAAATTTCTAGCTCATACTAATAGTGATGGAGTGATAAGTAACACTTAGTGCATAAAAACCTCTGAACGTTGAGTATTTTATAAACTAAACTTCATTATTTGAATAAAGAATTACCCGTATGATATGAGACAGTAAATAGTTTTTCTAAAAATTGATTCTTTACTTGAAATACATTCGTGTGTTAAAATTAAAAGTAATAGTATAACGTAGTCATTCAGCTAGTTAACATAAGTGGGTGCGGAAACTGCTTTTTTCAACGATATAAGAAAGGTTTGATAAAGTCGTCGCTCGAGATACTGACAAATTCAATGAATTCAAGATAGCTGTCAACAATAGGTTCCATGCCTTACAAGATCAACTCATAAAAGAAGAAACTACTATGGAGGACAACTGGGACGGGATCAAAGAAGCACTAACTTCAACGTATCAGCAGGTGTTGCACCTCAAGGATCATCATCATTAAGAATAAATTTTTGTGGAAACGCCAGATATTATTCAAGAAAGGAAGAACAAGAAGACAGCAATCAACAACAGTCGAACAAGAACAGAGAGAGTCAAGGCGCAGACCGAATACACCGAAGTAAACAAGAGAGTGAAGAAGAGCTGGCGAGCAGAAATATGTGTAGGACTTAGCAATGACATCGGAAAGAGCTGCGTGAGAAGGAAATGTGAAACAACTATATGATGATATAATGAAGAAACTAGTAGGGAAATATTGTGAACGAGATCGATCAGTCAAAGACGAAGAAGGCAAGCCAATCACTGAGATTCAAAAACAGCGAAATAGACCAAATCACAACACTACGAATCAATGTTTAACAAACGTTTGAACAGGACTCATTAATGTACATTGACTTCCTTGATCGTGACAAAGCATTTGGCACGGAATACGATGGACAGCTTGCATGCAACTATACGATTCGGACTTCGCAGTTCACCTAGCTCTTCTTTTCTATACACATCAACAAATTCAGGTAAAGACAGTTGGTATAAAATCAGCTTCTGGAGGAATTGGCCTCAACCTTCACAGGGGAACAGCAGGACTCTGATATACAACACAGAGACAATAGACTCAATCATACTTGGTGGAGAAGCTCTGGAAGTGGTGGAAAGTTTTTCGTACTTGGACAGCATGATCGATAAACAAGGGAGATTTGATGTGGATGTGAAGGTGCTGATTTGTAAAGCAAGGGTAGCATTTTTACAATCCAAGAACATCTGAAACTCTAAACAACCGTCGGTAAACATCAAAGTTAGAATTTTCAAATTTGGACTGTTGTACGGAGTTAAAACTTGGACAACTATTACAACCATCATCAAAAGTGTATAGGTATAAATAAACTCCATATTTGTTTGCCGGACAACGTCAGCAACAACTTACGGTATGAAATAACAAACAAGCTTCCAAATGGAGAGAAAATTAAAATTACTTTGGTGGCGGATAGGACACAGATTCCAGAAATCACTAAACAACATTACAAGATAAGCCCCAACTTGGAATCCTGAAGGTTAAAGGAAAAGATTAAGACCAAACAACACTTTAAATAGGAAATCGAAGGCAGACATCTGAAGGATGAATAGAACTTGGAGACAACTGGAAAAGCGAATCCATGACAGAGTTGGTTGGAGAATCTTTGTCGGTGGTCTATGGTCAATGAGAAGTAACAGGCGTAAGTGAGTAAATATATGTAGGATCCCTATATTTTCTGGAAATCCACAGTTATCTGAACTTTGAGTAAAATCGTTCATTTTTATGTGTTTCATTTAAATGATATTTCAAGTAAACAAAACGTCTCTCAGCTTTTCCTTAATAAACTTATAAACAATTAAGGCTTCATTGGATCCCTATTATTTATAGGTCAAATATCTATTTTTATCCATAATGAATAATTCGATGATGAGTATATTCGTGATTTGATTTGTAGTAGTTAATAAAGGTTTGATTACTGATAGAATTTTCGCTGATTTGTTTGTTTTTGCTATAAATGTATATTTGTAAACCAGCTGGGATAATTTTAAAGCTTATGTATCGCTATATTACAATTATCTGCAATATTGTACTATTTAATTTACTTGGTGGAAAAAAACTTCCAAATTGCGAAAATCTGCTACAATACTGCCAAAGTGTTCGGTCACACTAAACGATTTAATACGACCTCTATTCCATTTTCCTGGACCAATATACGGATCATATTCTTGTGGTATACGCGGTGGCAACGGTGGAGGTCGTGGCGGAGGTCGTGGTGGAGGTTCCCATTGGCGAGAAAGAGGTCCATATGAACCAACATATTTTGACCTAAACATTATATCTGAAATCGATGAACAAAAATTTTGCTAATTAAAAAATACAAAGTTAGAAGTTAATGTTTGATGTTTTTTTGTTTAAAAAAGACTTATCACCAGTTCAGTTGTATAAAAGTAATGTAATTAGTACAACGCTTGAAAGCATTACTATTTGTCAATGACAGGACCATAATTGATCAAAGTTCGAAAATTAGGTAAAACAGCCATCAATTGCTTTTTGGTTTTCAATAGCTGATATCAAACCTTGACAAATATTATCTTCATTTAACTATAATTCAGTTACATAGTACACACAATGTTCAGTAATTTTGTGTATTGCTTCATAGCATAAAGGTTTATTTTCATATTGTTTAAACATTTTTTTCACCAAACTTTTATTACTGATATCCAAGTAGTGTAGGTTACAGTTTGCACAAAACGTTTATACTAACTACCTTGTCAACTACCAAGAACTATCATTGATTTTTTAATTGGATAGTCAAATTTTTACATAGCTTTGATTTAGGTCAGGACCATAAAGATTCAGCTAATAATGTTTTCCAGTTTTAGATTTATTGATGATCGAACACAACCACGACTACAGCATTCAAGTTTCGTGTGAAGCACGACATCAATCAGTTATTGAATCGGAACTCAATATTGCATCAAGTAGTCTAGGATAAAGCGGAACTATAAGTCAGTAAGTAATTATCCTAATTCTTCATAAGTGACTCCCCACGTCAGAGATCCCCACTAAAATATTTTATTCGATGCTGTAGTGAAAAGTTGCAACCTCCGAAGTTGACTGATTCAGTAATGAGATGTATGGTGTCGATGATAACGATCGTGTGCCAAATTTCGAAGTAAATAAACTGAACATATGCTAGGTTGATTTCGTATAGGTGTCATGCTCAGGGTTAGAACTAAAGCTTGCATTTTTCATTCCATGTGAGAGATTACTGTAAAACAATTACGACATTCTCTCTGGATAATACAAAGAATATAATTGTCACACCTCCCATACTGAATGAATTTCAGACTCAGTTGACACAAAATATGTTGACTTAAAATATTGCTACAGTTGAAAATATGACTTCAATATCTTACGGACCGTGAAAATGAAATCGATATCAAAATGTCACATTGAGAATAAGTAATGTTATAAAATGTTGCGCTTAGTTGGAGGAAACATGAACTTGAAAATCTAAAAGTAAATTAGACTTTTTTCATCGTAGCAATCTGGCTTTCTTTGTATTTACTCCCCAGTTATACCTTCCATCCATTGTGTGTGTATACATCCGTACTTTGGTAAACGTAAATTACACCCCAACAAATTCAGTACGGATTTACAATATCACCTATTATCTTAACCTTCTTACCTAGAAACGTTGGTATTAATAGGTTGTTTCTTGATTGAAGCACCAGAATCAAACCATTTGGTTTTGTTTAAACTTAACTGCACTTAATTTGGTTGTTCGGTATCATAACTGTCCTTCAGGCTTAGGAAGGGTTTTAAGGTCAAATTTGTAATTGATAAATGCGTTAAAGTAGAATAAGTGGTTAACCATTTATGATGACACCTTTTCAAAAAAAATAATTTTTATTTTTCAGATGTTGCCTAAGAATGTCATACTCATTTATATACATGATTGCTTCGTTTAAGTTGAGTTTATTTGAACAAATTTACTGACTATAAACTTATTTGGCGGTCTCTTACAAGTATGTAAATTTTAGCAACATCTGATCATCTATCTATCTTTTATGTCAAGTATTCTTCAATTATATGAAAACAAAAGCAGATAGACCGACTCCGACAAAAACTCAATACAAGCCAGATTGATTACGTATCAAACCCCATAGAAGACTAGAAACAATAACTTTTGGAAAAAAAGACGTTGGAATTTGATCGAAGAAATGCATTTGACCAACTATGAAGGTTATTTGTATAAAGTTATGCATATGTAAGAGACTGAGTTTTTTATTTCTTGGTATCAAGGACTACAAGTGAACACGTTAGTACTGACTATTTGGACCCAATAGTTTAGTTAACAACTCGGTGTTTGAGACGAAATATAATGGATTCGAGTTCAGTATGAATATCAACATTGGAATGAGACTGACGAGTATCGACTAAGACAACACTTGTGTTGTGAATTCCACCACTAGTTATAATCCAACTTTCTAAGACTAGTAACTAATGCTGCTATCAAAGCAATCTATTTAGAATGTATATACAACAATTGCGATTGATCAAGTGTAATATGATAACTTATTTGTAAAGATTTGTATCCTTTTTGTTATTTTTAATCCAAATGATGAGATTTAATACCAATTTGTTGAAATGTGTTTTTCTTTTGTTTCTAACCAAATTAATATTAAGTGAAAATGAACATGAACGTATTATTGTAACTACAACTAATCTGTATTTGTAAACTAGTCTAATTGCATCACAAATCCAGGGTGTATCTAGACCTTTAAAGTAATAACCCTAGACTAATAACCTAACAAACTTTTTATTAAGCTAGAAAAATAGTCATAGCCAATCATGTTAAATAATCTCCAGCATAAACAAATAGAGTTACATCCTTGGCCAATTAAATTTATGTCCAACATCCATGCTACTAAGTTGGTGGGTATTTTTGATTTCATTTTTGTCACAGGACGATTGCAAATAAAATGTAGATTGAACAGAAGAATCATTTCGCATACTGAAAAGTTTCTTTTGAAGGATTTACCACTACACTTAATCCCATGGTTTTTTTATTAGCTTCAGGTTTTATAAAGAAAGGACGATAAGCTGAATTTTACTTTCTAAATAATACACTCATGAAGCTGTGACTCATTCTAGTAGAAAACGAATTATCCAGCTAGATAATATAATTTAGACCAAAATATTGCTATAGAAATAGCAGTTATTCCATTTGAACGTTTAGGGAAATTAGTTGCCATACTGTCATTTGGCAACATTTGCAAATTATTAGGGTATATGAATTTAGTGAACAACAAAGTAGGAAAAGGGAAACAGTTTTATCAGTAAGATATTTTGTTTCCTGGTTTACCACATTGTTTATAACAACTGTTAACATGATAGTTATACTGAGAACAAACTCCATAATGAATCTAAATACACTTAACGACGTTGAATCTAAATAGAAGTGATGAACAAATAAAAGTCTCAGAACTCAAATGTCATCAGTTAAATTGGTGTATTTCAGAGGATGCATGAAGTGGGATACTACAGATGCATCTGAAGTTAGAATATTAAAATAATGTTCAACATGAGTTTATAATAGTTTAGATGAACCAACTAGGTCTGATGAACAATCAAGTAAACAGTTAATTCATTGTAAATAATATATCTGGAGAAATAGGAAAAGTGAAAACTTTCCACTTTCAGTCTACAGTGGAACATACGATCCCACTTCATTAAGTTTTATAACAACTAGAAATTAGGTGGGTCACAAGTATAATATATAATAAAGACTAATTACAAATGTTAAGGATTCTTGAAGTAACATATATACAAAAATTGAAAGTAAGAAAAGGTAACAGACAACACAGTAATGGATATGCTTGTACGTAATAAAATGTACACATAATAAGTGATTGATGAATATTCAACAAGTGACTTAACGAACAAGTGTTTCATTGATGTGATATGACTGGTTACCAAATCTAATCAGTTTCGCCAGTATACATAAATGAAACTAATGTACTACGAGTTCAATATTTTATAAAAAGATTTATGTAACTTAAAAATGATACATTTAACAACTGGAACATTGTTATAAGGTTACAACTCAATTCATTCATATCAGAAGGGTTTTGTGAATATTATAGTAATTTCAGTGGTTGAGATCATGAGTCAATTGAAGCTAGACCACCATGAAAAAACCTGTAAGCACTGATGAGGAGTCCCAATGCTTTCATGTTTTCCATGGTGGTCTAGCTTCAATTGACTTATGATCTCAACCATTTAAAATTCATTCAATTGATAAGTTCAAAGTTAGGACACGGTTTGTATTTCTAATTTCTACTTCTAACCAATTATTCACCGTTGCATTTTGTATTGTTATTGTAAAATACTAATTTTAATAATCGTTAGTGTCTCTTACCCCAATTATATCGGTAGCAAACATTCACTTGTTTTAAGTGTTGTTTTTTTTCCTGATTTTTATTAATTTCGTCAATAGTAATAATAAAAGAATAATAGACCAGACATGAACTATTCTTTTTTTTCCCTTCTTGTATAACGTCATACTGATATGTGGTGATATTATTGCCAATAGTTTATGTATGAATATATTTCAAATAAGTAAGAATTCATTTTTATCTAGGGTTGGTTAATAAAATAAATAAATAATGAATCAAATATTTTCACCTACAACTAAGTAGATTGTAAAATACAACATTAATTTATAAAAGAAATTTCTACAGATTAACTAGACTTTGTAGTTTTTATTAAAGAAGAAATGTCAATAGGATAATCAGAGTGCATTATCTTACATGGTTAAATCTACACGATTGCATTAGTCATTTATGAAACTGTCTGGGATCGAATCTATGACTTAGAAGCTTTATGACAGTTTAGTTACTTATGGATTACTATGTTGAACTAAGAAGAAAAGTTATCTGATGCTTCAAACCTTTAAATGAGTTCAATCCATAATTTTTAAAAAAAATTAATTTTATACTGAACTAACAGTCGTAAAGAGCCTGCCTTAATAATAATCAAGTATTTCGTATTAAATCCCCTAAATTCTATTCAGAAGTTAGAAATGATGCAATTCAACCATATTGGAAGTGAAGCTGGTGATAGCTGATAACATTGAATGACTGTCAAGTTACATCAAAAATTCACTGCAGTACGAGATGTGAACCACGTGATTCCGATTCAGTGATCTAGAAGTAAAGTATTCACAGAGATACTTAAAAATCATGCTTGCAACTTTTAACTGGGTTGTGTGAGTACTGGTCGACAATTATTATGTCTTTTATCGATCATGAATCCCAATCTATTTAACAACGAACTAATCATTCAGTTTTGAACTGAAAATTTTCCATTCATTCACCTATTATTATTCATTAATGGTTGTACAA